CAGAGCAGTGCAGGCTGGTCAGGAGGCTGCAGAGCCCGCGGCCGCCCCGACCAGCTGGCTGAGGCCCGGCAGCCCCCCCTCTGCCTCAGGGCAGCCCCTCTGATCCGGTTCAGGGGTCCATCCTGTCCCTGCAGGGACCTTCCCAGGGACCCGGGAACCAGCCCCTCCCCCCACCAGGTCACAGGCCAGCTGTGTGCAGACTCCACTGAGGCCCTGAGCCAGATCTTCTCCCGGACCCGGCGCTGCCGACCCTGACCCTGGGGCCGGCCTGTCCACTCGGCGCCAGACATGAGGACACCCCCTGAGGGCCAGTTACAGGCCTGCCAGCCACAGAGCCACAGAAAAGGCCCAGCTGCAGCCCCGTGAGGCACACAGCCCCTCCTGACCGCGATCAGAGAGGCGATCCCATCAGCCCGTGGGAGTCAGAGCCACGTGACCTCCCGGCTCCTGGGCATAAAGGAGGCCAAGGCGGCCTCTCCTTCAAATGCATAAATGCCCGCGGGGCTGGGGGTCCTGAGGGATCAGCACCTAGGACAGCAGCCTCGGGCTCCAATAAGCAGCCCTCAGGGACCCAGGAAATGGAGGAGCATGAATATTCTGACCAAGAATTCAGAGTAAACCCGCCTCAAGAAGACAAAGGAGATTAAAAAAAAAACACACACACACAGATAAGTAAACAATATCAGAACAAAGGACGAAAAAGTGAGAACGTAAACTACAAATACCATAAAAGGGCCACCCCCTAAAATATCACCCTGGGCATGAAGAATGCAGAGCTGCCCAGGGGCTCAGAGACGCCCATGTGACACAGCTCACGCCCTTTGCCTGAGGCTCACAGGCTCCCCTCGGTCAAGGCCTGAGGCCAGCAGCTCCCCACCCTCCATGAGGTGCTCACACTTCACTGCAAACAGGAGGGTCCTGCTCTCACTCCACATCCACCAGGAGACCCTCCATGTCCTCAGTGACCTTTTCTGTGACACATTCAGGCTCTGTCACTGTGAGGTTCCATGGACGGACAGAGCCGGGTGTCACTGAGCTGTCATTACAGTGTCCTGTTCACAATCCCATTGCCCCTGAGCGAAGGCTTTGGGTTCACATCGACAGATTCTTCTACTAAAATCTGTTCATACTCAATCTAGAGTTTTCTCTCCCAAACTTTGATCCTTAGACTCACACTGTGAATCACATCACCTTCTTCAGTATATTTTTATTGATGTCAGAGAGGAAGGGAGAGGGAGAGAGAGAGAGAGAAACATCAATGGTGAGAAAGAATCATTAATCGGCTGCCTCCTGCCCACTCCAGCCCGGGCCTGTGCCCTGACATGGAATCAGACCGTGACCTCCTGCTTCATAGGTTGAGCAGAAGCTGCTGGAGAGCTCACCACCTAGCAGATAAGAGGGGTTTTTGTCTCACTTCCCCACAGGCCCGGAGCACTGTGCAAGCTTTGAGACTGTCGTCCCATGCTGAGCAGTAATAGTCGCCCTCGTCCTCAGCCTGCAGCCCCGTGATGGTCAGGGTGCCTGAGCTGCCAGACTTGGAACCAGAGAATCGGTCTGGGACCCCTGAGGGTCTTGTGTTACTACTATGGATGATGCATTTGGGGGCCTTTCCTGGCAGCTGTTGTTGCCAGGACGCATGGTTATTCCCAATGTTGGTGCTGCTTCCAGTGCAGGAGATGGTGACCTTCTGGCCCGGGGACCCCGACACTGAGGATGGCTGAGTCACCACAGACTGGGCCCAGGATCCTGCAAGAGGGGGAGACACAGAGATGGTGAGTCTGGGTCTAGAGACAAGAGGAGGAAGCAGGGCCCATGTGTCTTCCCAAGGCCCCTTCCCCGTCCCCTGATCCAGTCACCTGTGCAGTGAGCCAGGAGGGTGAGGAGGAGAGGGGCCCAGGCCATGGTGGAGGTCATCCCTGAGTCCTGCCTCCTGAGGCCCCACAGCTGAAGCAGAGCTCCCCACACCTCTCCCTTCCCCTCTTCATAGTCTG